TTTCGGCTTCTTTAGAGCAGCACAAGATCCCGATAGTATCTCGACCAAAACAATTTTTGTTGTCAGGCCTGATATTGATACAAGTTGCTTACATAGAGGATAGCCCCAACAAGTTAGCTCTTGGAGTTGCGATGCAAAAAAGGGTACGACATAAACTGTTTATACAAAGTACCATACTATGATCATATAGAACACGTTGGTAGAGATAGCCATCAATTTCATTAATTGACGAAGCCACCGAGGAGAAGAGAGTAATTGTCATTGGTACTCTAATTTTACAAGGCTATTATACTGATCATTTCTTTTATGTCATGAAAATTCGTATTAGGACTGAAGTGATATTACCTCAAGCCATAAACTGCAGCAATGGAATGGTCGTTTGGATTAATGTGTATTGATGCAAAATGCCATGTAGCTGCCACGAAGGAGTAAGAAAGTACTAATCAGCGTGTTTGTTGTCAAGAAGGATTAAAATCATGATAATGGAGAGGTTACATGACAATTGACTTATACATGCTGAAGAGACAGAAAGTGCAGAGCTGTAAGTCATTTGTGTGTTTAGTGTAGCAGAGTGATTAGGAGTGATTTGGTAGGATTTCACAGTGGTAGGGGTATTGACAAAAGTTGTTATTTGTTGGTATTACTAGGCATATGTTGTTCGCCTTTTTGTTTTTGTTTGTATATGAGATTTCTACAACATATTATTTCTTTTATTTTTTCTGCCATTTTAATTAATAAAACTATTTATCAGGAAAAAAATTGGCCTATACATTTCATCGACTTGATTTGGACATTGTTGGTTTTGGTTTTCTCAGCTAGAGATTCATCACCTTTGGTGTCACTGTGTTTTTGGTCTAAGTGCAATCTAGATTGGGTTTTCTTTATGAAATCTCTTTGTGGCTTCCATTTTCACCATCGGGAATTGAAGCCAAGTAAGCATTCCTTTGGTTTTTCATGTTCACTATTGAGACATTAGGGTGTTTGGCAATAATGTGGCTAGATTTAGGACTAATGAATTCATTTGGATTGTCCATTATAGTGTTTATGTTTTACTGTTCTTTTGTAATGCAATGGGACAATAACTTTTCATCATATTATTATGGTGTTGTTGAGCTACTTCTGTCCATCGTCCCAGACATACTAATGGTAATATAGTCATAATCAAAGTATCAATTTCTAAGATTACGTCCGGCCAAGAGACCGGGTAATAAGCTGGTTAATTTCATATTGGAGGTGAAAATATGAAGCCTGACTGGTGAAATGTATAGGAGGGAGTTTTGGGCCCCCAATCAAAAATATTTTAAAGGTGTATTTTAAATCAATTGTTATGTTCGTTAGACTCATTTCAGGCCCAACTGGTTCAGTATTGATGACTATATGCTAGACTGCTAGTAGTTGATTCAATTATTCCGTGACACTTAAAAGCCTCTATTTTCATAACCGGATTGGAGGCTGAAACGGAAAAGTTAGTGGTTTAGACTTCAGCGGTTAACCGTTACAAAACTGTTGGTGAACTATTGATAGAATCGTTCATGATATATAACATATAAGACTTGTATATTACACTAATTTAAGAATGAAATTATCATTGACCATAAACAAATTCAAATTCATATCAGCACCAAAATATCTAATAAATCACTCCAACCATCTCACAAAATAAACCACATTTTTTTAATTTAAATTAAAAATTATAGCTCTAGTAGGTAGTAGACAACGTAAAGTCGACCAGTGGACCAGTTAAAGCATTTGTTGGTTAAAATAGTGAACCGGTGGACCAATTAAACCGTGTTGGTTCATCTGATTTTATGTTGAACCGTGAAAAACCGTTTGGTCCATCAATAACCGTTCAAGCAATGAACCAAACCGCTATCGTAACTGGTTTGACGGTTCTACTGGCCTGGCCATTGATCCTGTTCGATTCTTATAACAATGCTTAAAGCTATTAACCACAATCTAAATTCTCAATTTTATCACTTCCCCTTAATCGACATATTCTAGGTGGAAAGGCTGCAGCAACAAGTATCTTAACATGACAATATCCTCATCCATCATTTTACAGCTGACTACTAAACCAATGTATTCTAGCTGCATAGCTGGTTCTTGTTATCAATCGATCATATGCTCCTTGGAGTCTTTCTCTGAATGAAGATTCATTTTTTTATACAAATTATAGATAGTCAAGGAGTACAATGCAATATGTATACAAAATCAGGTAGTGATATGCGGTCGATACTAATTAAATCACCAATAAAAGAGTTTTTTGTGCAATTAAAGAACAACTCTATTAAATTCATACGAATAAAGTAGTAAAAAGCATATTTATGAATCAATTAAAGATACAAACTTTCAAGACATCATAAATGTAGGTTGATGAACCGACTCACTTGCAAAATCAATAAACAAATAACCTGAAAGCTTGTATATGTTATTGGTTCATCAACCTACATTTATTTGTATGCATTAAGCTTTCGAGAGATTGCTAACAAGGATATGTATATCCGGATTGCTAACAAGGATATGTATTAAGCAATTCATATATAATGTATTAAGAAATTGTATGAGTCTCACTATTGGCAATTGCTTATTGTTTTCGGAGTTGTAAGAGTTGAAAAAAAAAATTAATGTGATATTTGCTTAAATTAGTGATGTGGCCGTAAGGACCACTTTAAAAATGGCCTATTAATGGTTGAGATAAAGATGATTGGGGCTGCAAATGTTTCTTAATTGGGCTTGGCTTGTTTACTAAACCCTTACCTTGTGTATGACTCGAGATCGACGCAAGTTTAACTTGTCAATGAGGTCACGAGCTCTACTATAGTTTGGCTCATCAATCACCTCGAGAGATCGGCTCGACCTCATGTATCATATGATTTAGTTCATAAATTTTAAGTGTTCACATTAAGGTATTTAATAATAATTAATATCTAAACAATCTATGATACATAATTTCTCTTTAAAAATATAAATGAGACATATTTGGCCATGTGCTCAAAGTCTTAAGCATCAAATGTAGTAATTTATAAAATTTAACAAACCTATGAATTATCAACAAGCCAGCTGATAAGTTGTTAATCTATTCGTCAATAAGTTGATAGTCGAGGAGTCTCACTAGCCATTCTGTCATATATTAAAACAAGATAGCTCACAAATTGAGTTCAATAAGCTATCAAGTCAAGTTGTCTTGCGAGCCTTACTAGCTGAACAAAGCATAACTTGACCTCAACTCATTAATAAACAAGTTGAATATCCAAGGAGGGTTTTTATTGGGAGCAGAACGTCGAGCTGAACATATTGGCTTATTTGCAGTTCTAGAGATGGTCTAATAGGGCACTCCACTCTTACTCCACTCTTGTTTCCAAAGATAAACTCAGAATCTCCAGAACAGAAGAAGCCTGCCAAAAGGAATGCTGAAAATAGGAAGAGGGGGGCTTTGGGATTTATATAACAATCTTTTAGGTGCATTTTATGGGGTCGTTTAGGGCCCAATGGGCTGAATTATCGATAGTCCATCATCTTCATATCGGTCACCTAGAAAAGGTTAAAAAAATTGTCCTTCCCTATCGCCTGCATCTTCATGTGTCTGCTGGATATTCTTTCTTCCACAAATTTTTTTCTAACATATTTTTGGAAGTCTTGTCCAAAGTCCAAACTTCCTCTTCTTACGAGCAAGACCATTTTCAGAAAAGTTATATCTAAATTGGCTTTAGCCATTGCTGGCCTGGGAGAGCAGTAACGTCTTGCTAAACTAGATGTTGGATAAGGTAATGTAATTTGGTAATCGTTAGGCACCCCATAGTGGATAGGTTTGATCATGAACCCATCCTACACTTGAAGTTTGGGGAGGGGATCCAAAGGGTTTTTGGTGAGCTTTCATGGGTATCTTTAATTAATTACGTCCATATTTGGATTTAAGTTTTTTAATTGGAACTCATGAACCCTAATTATAATAAACCCAAATTTGGATACCTTTACTTGGGGACGTTTTTACCCTCATATCTGAATCCTTTCCTGTGGTTATAGGCAAACCTCCTGATTGTCTATGCACCTCTACCTCCTTTATCACTGAGCGATCATTTTCGGGGAGAACCAGTTAGCTCTGGGTTCGAGTAGCATTTCACTCCAAACCACAACTCATCCGTTGATTCTTGCAGAGCTCATGGCTCTTCACGATTCTCTACGTTGGTGTCTTGCTCACTCTCTAACTAATGTTTGTGGGTGGAGCTATCCTTGTTCCAAGCCTTGTTCCTTCATACAAAGTTCCACTTCGCTTCCTGCCCTTATTTTTGTTCTAGTCCTGCCCTTAGTAGCACTACAAAGAAACAAACTTATGGCATCAATTTACTAACAGGGGTTCCCATAACCCTTGCCGCACAAATGACATTTTCATACAACAGCAATTATATCCAACGGTTAAAAGAACCCCTGCCGATTTTGGGATTAATAAATAAAACTAACGTTCCAATAAACGCCAAAAACCTCCTCGTCTCTCTCTCATCTAAAGTGGGGGAGCGGTTACGGTGATTACTAAGGGTAAATTGGGTATGGAAAAATAAATTATATTAATTAAATTTTTAATAAATTACATTTTAAGTAGTTACAAAATATATTAATTAAAATTCTCTCTTTTTCTCTCACTTCCTTAATCTCCAGCCAGATCTCCTTTCCATATTTTTCTCAATCTTTCTGAAGAAAAAAAAACATGAATTCAGTATCAATCCATTAGACAACCACTACACGAAAACTAGCATTGCAGAAATAAATCTATACCATTACACGAAAACTACCATTGCAGAAATAAATCTATACCATTACACGAAAACTACCAATATAAACAATCTATACCATAAACAATCAATACCATTGCATAAATAAATCTATACCATTACACGAAAACTACCAATATAAACAATCTATACCATTGCATATATGAAGAGAATTATGAACATTGAGGTTTGAACCAATATCATTAGACTTTGAAGAACTACCAGACTATCATTGCTAATACTAATACACGTGTAATGAACTAATACCAATCTATAGTGTCACACTACCAAACGAAGATGAATGAATATCATGTTGTTATCATAACGTTTCATCACAACCGAAACACCCTCCGGCCGCCGCCGCCGTCTACGGCAGAGAAGAAGCATTATTATTATAACCATCGGTCGTCGTCTGAACTTTCGCAATCAACCTCCCAAGCTTACTCAACGTCTCCCTCGCCGCAACCGTATCAGGATGATTCTCCCCACAAATGGAAGCCCTAATGAAAATCACCTTCTTGATCAAATCATCCCCAACATCGAAAACTCCGCCTCTCAGCATCAGCTTCGCCCTCATCTCCAGCACCGTCTCCCTCGTCAGCGCCACCCAGGCCAAGAAGAGGCCGCCCCAGACGGCGAAGCTGCCGCCGACGCGGGGCGCGTTCATCAGGACGGCCTGGGTTCCGCCGGTGAGGCGAGTCCCGACGGGGGAGTTGTAAACCCCTTTGATGAAGTGGAAGGCAGAGCCGCCGACTGCTCTCATGCCGAAAGCGTCGCCGTTGTCGTCGAGGATGCGGTCCAGGCAGGGCTCCCTGGATGTCTCCGGCGTACCCATGTCGGTTGATTTGAAGAAAAGGGAGACTTCTCGAGGAGGAGAGAAGTTCTAGGTGGTGGTAGCTGACGGAGGAGGGAGGATAGAACTAGGGTTTGGGTAAATTATATAGATTAATCAGGTGTGTCACTTTGTAATTTCCAAAATTACACTAAAAGAATCTTGACCGTAAGATTAAAAAAAAGGAAAAATAATTAATCAAATGTTATATAAAGAAGTTGCCACCGTAATTACTAAAAAAACAAGTAATCACCCTAACATTATGATAATTCTCGTCTTCTTCTCTACTTTGTTCTCCCAAAAACAAATCCCTAACCCTAACAACCAAGCCTCAAGTTTTCGCCGCATTCTTTGATTTCTTCACCGGCTGTCTGCGATCATCAGATGTGGCGCCACATCCGAGCACGGGGTAATTTTCGCCATCGATTCAATCCAGACGACCTTTCCTTTAATGTTCGAATCAACTATTTTTTCCTACTTCGTCTCAATTTATGCTCCGTATGTCGCAACTCTATTCTTAAACCCTCGCCACTCTCGCTTTCTCATGCATTCGTATTTTGGGCATGGATAACTACCCAAGGGAAGATCGACGTGCCGGAGGAGTATCTTGCAGATGCTCTAAAAGCCTGAGTTTTGTATTATTGCTTAAGCTGAATATATAGTACATTGTGGCAACAGATTGCCGTGCTTACAGTAAGCCAATAACAGTGTGGCTGTAAAATAGGAACTGAAAGTGATGGAATGCAACAGAAACTTGAAGTGGTCAATATTCCTTATCATGCCGCCGCAAGTGAAGCCGAGTAAAGGCAAAACTTGGAACAAAATTTTTGAAAAGAAAGTAGCTCTGGTGTCATCACGTCGGGCACACACCTGCCGCCCTTGTTGGCAGTCTTCTGCCGCTTGAAAGATGATGATTTTGTGGGTACATCCTGCTAGAACTTCTGTGCCTTGGGTATTGCACCGGAAGGAGAAAGCTCCCGTCCATGGCTGGTTCTCTCTTCTGTGGGTACTCTGTTTGATTGCTCCTCTGTTTTCAATTTCTGGGTGTGGGAATTGCTACGGGCATCGAAGAAAAGGGGAAAGAAGGAAAGCGGGGGAAAAAATGGTAGGTGGGAGGGAGGAAGAGTTGTGATTGACAAGATAAATCAGTAGAGATTGAGTTGGATCAGAAATCTTGGTGGGGGAGTACTTTGCAGCAAAAGTGGCAGAGAGAGATAAACCCAGTTTGTGGTAAGGAAAGAAAGAAATCCATGCTCGCTGAACTGAACCGAAGCTATGGAACAAACACTGTCGGCGTGGGTATCGATTGCGGCCAAAAAAAATTGTTTGGATGATTCTCTGACTATGGTAGTTTGGTAGTTGAGAAGAGGAATGGACTAGAAAATAAAAGACAAAGAGAGGAGAGAGGGATTATGTGGAAGCACAAGAGGGCAGAGAATAAAGGGGAAGAAGAAAGGGATTTCAATTAGAATTGAGAACGAGGGAAAAGAATAAGAAGGGTAGGAGACTAAATGGGAATGAGAGACTCTCTCGTGAGCTTTGTACAGAAAAGGCAATCGATATGAGTTTGGAGGTGAGAAAGATAGAGAAACGAGATGGGAGGGATGAAGGAGAAAGGCATATATCGCAGGGAATGGGGAAATAAATGGTTGTTGTGGGGCACTATCTGTCCTGTGGAAGAATTTGGGAAAGAAACAAATTATGGAAAGAAGGTTGGAGAAAGAAGGAAGGTAAGCAATTTGGGAATTGAGCAACCAAATTAGAGAAAGAAGAAATTCAGTGGTGGGCTGGGGCTATTGAGTCCGACATTTCAGAAGCAAGAAACGAGAGTAAGAACTAAGAAGTAGGGGATTTGAAGAGAGTACATAGGAAAGGGACGGCTGGGGAGAAGCTGTGCAGCAGTGGTGAGCATTCCAGGAGAGGCGACGCGACGGAGGTGATGTCGTGTCGGAGGCAGAGACGTAGACTATGGCCGGAATGAATCTGGCCGGCATAGCGGCGACAAAGACGCAAAGAGGACACAGCGACAGCATAGATACGCTCGGTCGGTGGCAGAAACAACAGGGAGAAATAGAGAGGAGAGGGGGAGACCGGTCATGCGGTGGCTGGCGGCCGGAGGTAGGGGACTGTTGCAGACGAAGAAGAAGTGAATCGGACATGGGAAGTAGATGTGAGGAAGAAGGAAGTGGCTGGTGGTGGGAAAGTAGGGGTATGCAGGGTGTTTGATGATTTGATCTACTGAAGGGATAAGCAACCGGGTGAGTTTGGACTCATCTCGCCGGCAAAAGGAGGAAAAAAAAAGGTTTTAGGATTCCTAGATCTGTAGGCTGTTAAGCAAGAAGCTCTGATACCATGTAAATGCTCTAAAAGCATGAGTTTTGTATTATTGCTTAAGCTAAATATATAGTACATTGTGGCAACAGATTGCCGTGTTTACAGTAAGCCAATAACAGTGTGGCTGTGAAATAGGAACTGAAAGTGATGGAATGTGTTGGGATGAATAGCTTTGAAAAGCTATAAATGAAATTCCTAATTAATTATCCAGTATTTTCCCATAATACATTAATAAGATGGATAATTAATAAAAGGAATATTATGGAGATAATTAGGCAACTGATAAACATGAGACCCGATTTAGTGGGGGGTACTTGGCAGGCTTACTGATTGTCCTAGTATGAAGCATTGAAATGCTATTGAAAGGGGTCATGAGACACCTTAAAAGAACAGAAAAAACTTGGTATTTGTTATCAAAGGTTTTGCTATATTGGTAGGGTATAGTGATGCGGATTAGAATACCCTATAGAGGTCTCCAAGACAACAAGAGGCTGTGTTTTAAACATCGATAGAGAAACTATGTCTTGGAAGTCTAAGAAATAAACGATCCTGGCTCAATCAACTAAGAATCAGAAATGATAGAACTAGCAATGGCTAGTTAAGAGGAAAGTTGATTGAGAGGGTCACTACTAGAGATTCCCTTATGGGAAAGACTTATCCCTCCGGTAGTTGATTAATTGTGATAGCACCGCAGCTATTGCAATAGAAGGGAACCGGTTCTAGAACGAAAAGAGACGACAAATTCGTCGTAAGCACAATACTGTAAGAGAACTCCTAACGATAGGAGCAATGAGGGTGGATCCTGTAAGATCCTAACAGAATCTAGCTGATCCTTTGACGAAAGGATTAACTAGAGAGAAAGGTCCAAAATACCACGGAAGGTATGGGACTTATGCCTACCGAACCACGGATTACAAGTGATGGTAACCCGACCCGATAGACTGGAGATCCCAAGAAACGAGTTCAATGGGTAATAACAAGTCATGAGTAATATTGAGAAAAGTTCATGCATATTGAAGCATGAATCCCAAAGCCTTGGAGGTTGAGTTAAACTCTTAATGAGATCTATACTCTATGTGGAGTGAAGTACTTTACTTTGGGGGTACTTCTGATAGACTCACCTATGTGAATGTGGGAGTGAGGCCGCTCCCTATGGAACTTTGGAGGCACAAAGTTGCTAGAGCGTTCACTAAACCGGGATAACGTGCATGGCCATAAACGCACGGCCTATGAGAGAATATCACTCAATGAAAAGATCCGGTGTGCTACATTGTCTGAGATAGGGTTCAAGACTACGAGTCACCCTTATGAAATCGGAAGTGTAACCACTACGCTAAGGTTCAAATCTTCGCGATACCTTAGCTTATGCCCGATCTTATGGAACTGTTGATGCTCAAGATAGTTTCAAAACTATTCAAGTGGGGGATTGTTGGGATGAATAGCTTTGAAAAGCTATAAATGAAATTCCTAATTAATTATCCAGTATTTTCCCATAATACATAAATAAGATGGATAATTAATAAAAGGAATATTATGGAGATAATTAGGAATAATTATCTTAATAGATTATATTTTAATTATAGGAGTAATTATCTCCCTAATTAAAATATGACTTATTCCCAAAGAAAGAGGGAATATTCTGGGTTTTCTGCTCCTATAAATAGGAGACGCCCCAGACCCTCTAAACACACCTCAAAGAGCAAAAACACGAGAAAGAGTGAGATTCAAAGAGCTCCGGTTTTCCGCACAAAACCGCTGAGCAAATCAAAAGAGTAGCTGTTTTATCCTGGAGGCGACCGGCTGATAGTCTGCTGTGCGAATAACGAGGCAGTGCCGCGAACGTCTTAAAGAGAGCGACCTAGTCCGCGACTCAGCCAGATCGGTAACCCTAATTTTTCTGTTCGGTTTCTAACAGAATGCAACAGAAACTTGAAGTGGTCAATATTCCTTATCATATCTGAGGTCGACGACCGATTACGTGGAGGTGGATCGGCCTAGGAGGCTGGAGTTCGGCGGGAAGCTGACGATTACGCAGTGGACGAGGTTTCCGATCTATGAGACGGTGGATTTCGGGTGGGGACGGCCGGTGTACGCCGGGCCGATTGACCTGACGCCGACGCCGCAGGTGTGTGTTTTGCTGCCGGAAGGCGAGGCGGAGCCCAGTGGGAGGACGGTGATTTGCATCTGCTTGTCGGAGTTTGCCACCGGGAAGTTCACGGAGCTATTGGTGAGTGGTGGTCGTTGGCGGGTGGTGGCGCAGAAGGTGTTTGAGGAAATGTCTGACTGGGGAGAGTGGTGGTAGTTGAAGTGTGAGATTGGTATGGGACTGGGAGAGAAGGGAAGTGAGATATTTGAAGGGTCAAACAATCTGAACTGTTAATACCATCTGTTTATTATACCATGAGAATTTACAGTTTGTTTTGCTCTGTTTGTCAGATTTTTCTGTAGCTTTCTTCCCTCACTATTCTTGGTCAGAATCTAATATTTGTGTAATCTCTTTTTCTAGTTCAGGTTAGCTTTAACCAATTAGGGCCAAAGGTTAGGATCACATTGTTGCAGTGTTAGGTGTTTATTTGTTATTGTAACTTAAGTTTTCTTCTGTGAGTTTTTCCCCACTTAGATTCTTGTTCTATGTTCATTTTTCTTCTCTGTGCTATTTAGTGAGACCGACTTTTATTTGTTTTTATGGCTTTGTAACAGGTGAAAATGGTTTCAAAAGAAAGCAGTGAATGATGTGGCTGATGCAG